CGAAATACATACGGCTCTGAATATGACAGACCCGTTGACTAAGCTTCTCTCACGAGCAAAACATGATCATACCTTAGTACTCTTTTGGGTGTTAATCACATAGCGATGTGAACTAGATTATTGACTCTGGTAAACCCTTTGGGTCTTGATCACATGATGATGTGAACTATGGGTATTAATCACATGCAGATGTGAATATTGGTGTTAAATCACATAGCGATGTGAACTAGATTATTGACTCTAGTGCAAGTGGGAGACTGAAGGAAATATGCCCTAGAGGCAATAATAAAGTTATTATTTGTTTCCTTATTTCATGATAAATGTTTTTTATTCATGCTAGAATTGTATTAACCGGAAACATAATACATGTGTGAATACATAGACAAACATAGTGTCACTAGTATGCCTCTACTTGACTAGCTCGTTTATCAAAGATGGTTATGTTTCCTAGCCATGGACAAAAGAGTTGTCATTTGATTAATGGGATCACATCATTAGGAGAATGATGTGATTGACATGACCCATTCCGTTAGCCTAGCACTTGATCGTTTAGTATGTTGCTATTGCTTTCTTCATGACTTATACAAAGTTCCTGCAACTATGAGATTGTGCAACTCACGTTTACCGGAAGAACACTTTGTGTGCTACCAAACGTCATAACGTAAATGGGTGATTATAAAGGTGCTCTACAGGTGTTTCCGAAGGTACATGTTGCGTTGGCATAATTCGATATTAAGTTTTGTCACTCCGATTGTCGGAGAGGTATCTCTGGGCCCTCTCGGTAATACTCATCACCTAAGCCTTGCAAGCATTGTAACTAATGAGTTAGTTATAAGATGATGTGTTACAGAACGAGTAAACAGACTTGCCAGTAACGAGATTGAACTAGGTATTGGATACCGACGATCAAATCTCGGGCAAGTAACATAACGATGACAAAGGGAACAACGTATGTTGCTATGCGGTTTGACCAATAAAGATCTTCGTAGAATATGTAGGAACCACTATGGGCATCCAGGTTCCGCTATTGGTTATTGACCGAGAATGGTTCTAGGTCATGTCTACATAGTTCTCGAACCCGTAGGGTCCGCATGCTTAACGTTACGATGACAGTTTTATTATGAGTTTATAAGTTTTGATATACCGAAGTTTGTTCGGAGTCCCGGATGTGATCACGAACATGACGAGGAGTCTCGAAATGGTCGAGACATAAAGATTGATATATTGGAAGCCTATGTTTGGACATCGGAAAGGTTCTGGGTGAAATCGGGATTTTACCGGAACACCGGGGGGTTACCGGAACCCTCCCGGGGGTTAATGGGCCTTGGTGGGCCATGAGGGAGAAGAGGAGGGCCGGACAGGGCAGGCCGCGCGCCCCCTCCCCCCTAGTCCGAATAGGACAAGGAAGGGGGGGCGGCGCCCCCCCCCCCCTTTCCTCTTTCCCCTCCCCCCTTTCCTTCTCCACCAAGGCAAGAGGGGGGAGTCCTACTCCCGGTGGGAGTAGGACTCCTCCAGGCGCACCCCAAGGGGGCCGGCCGCACCTCCCCCTCCCTCCTTTATATACGGGGGCAGGGGGCACCCCATAACACACAAGTTGATCTACGGATCATCCCTTAGCCGTGTGCGGTGCCCCCCTCCACCATATTCCACCTCGGTCATATCGTCGCGGAGTTTAGGCGAAGCCCTGCGCCGGTAGAACCTCATCATCGTCACCACGCCGTCGTGCTGATGGAACTCATCCCCGAAGCTTTGCTGGATCGGAGCCCGGGGATCGTCATCGAGCTGAACATGTGCTGAACTCGGAGGTGCCGTACGTTCGGTGCTTGGATCGGTCGGATCATGAAGACGTACGACTACATCAACCGCGTTGTCATAACGCTTCCGCTTACGGTCTACGAGGGTACGTGGACGAACACTCTCCCCTCTCGTTGCTATGCCATCACCATGATCTTGCGTGTGCGTAGGAAATTTTTTGAAATTACTATGTTCCCCAACAATATGATGAATGGAAACCCACCATCAAAGTCAAGATAAAAAATTATGAGTGCAATGCTTTATGTGATTTGGGTGCTAGTGTTCACAATTCCAAATCTCTATGTGATGTGCTAGGTTTCACCAATATGGAGGAATGTTCTTTTAATTTGCACTTGGCAGATTCTACTATTAAAAAGCCTTTGGAAAGAATTAATGGTGTTCTTATTCTTCCAAATAGGAATTACATGCCCATATATTTTATTGTTCCTAATATTGATTGCAATCCCTCTTGTCCCATATTACTTGGTAGACCGTTTTCACGAACTATAGGTGTCGTGCTTGATATGAAAGAAGGGAATATTAAATTTTAGTTTCCATTAAGAAAGGGTATGGAACACTTCCCTATAACTGTAATTAAGCAACCATATGAATCAATCATGAGGGAAACCTATGGAGCAAAAACTAAAGATGACAATACTTGAATCTATGCATTATGCCTAGCTAGGGGCGTAAAACAATAGCGCTTGTTGGGAGGCAACCCAATAGCTATCTTTGAAATTTTTGTTTTTCTTTCTGTTCTTCAATTAATTTACAATTGTGCTTCTGCAATGATTGTGTTTTTATGTTTTAATTAGTATTTGTGCCAAGTAAAGTCTTTGGGATGATTTGGGTTATAGTTGATTTAATTTTGTGCATTAACAGAAACTTTTTCATCCAGTAGTAGAATTGTTTAAATTCACTGGAGCGTGATACAATTCTGAATTTTTTACACATGATTGATATACAAATTTCCCACGTTGTCCTAATTTTTCAAAATTTTGGAGTTATAGAACTATTGTTAAAGTTCAGATTACTACGGTTTGTTTTGTTCTTGACATATTTTGTTTTCATTGCATTGTGTGCTTATTTTGATGAATCTATGGATTATATCGGGGGCTATAAGCCATGGTAAAGTTAGAATACAGTAGCTATAATGCAATAATGAAATATGAATGGGTTTGCAACAATACTTAAAGTGGTGATTTGCTTTATTATACTAACGGATCTCACGAAGGTTTTGTTAAGTTTTGTGCGATTGGAGTTTTCAAGTTTTGGGTGAGATCATGATGGATGAAGGTTTTGTGAAGTTTACCCACTTTATGCTATTTTCTCGAGAGAAACCTCTAGTGAAACCTCTAGTGAAAACTATGGCCCCCGGATCATATATTAAAACAAAAAATACCTTGTTGCAATTTTATTTTATTTATTTTATTTTGTGTTTTAGTTAGATATATTTATCAAATCTCATATAAGTTAATCTATCTCAATACCGATTGACAACCCCTTTACGCATTGGGTTGAAGTATTTGTTGTTTGTGTGCAGATGATGTTTACGTAGTGCTGCCTGGATCTTCTATTGGATTGATAACCTTGGTTTCATAACTGAGGAAAATACTTACCTCTGTTGTGCTACATCATCCCCTCCTCTTCAGTGAAATACCAACGCAGATTACAAGCATCAGCCTTCTGCCGGTGCCGCTGCCGGTCTTCCTCGTCTCCTATGGTCTTAGGGCCATGTAGGCGTGGTGGAGCCTGGCCCTTGCCGGCGGGAGGGTTTCGTTTTTTCATGCTCTTTTGAGTTTTGTTAGGGTTTGTGTCCTGCTCAGAGAGGCGAGGCGGCTGCGGCTCTCTGAAGACGGAATAAGGTTTTCCCCGCCTTGTCCCTGTTTCGGTGGTGTTTCTAGCATCATCGAAGGGTGTGTGGAGATTTGTCTCCGGCGGATCCCGCGGGATTTGGTCGGTGTTTGTCTTCGGTAGATCCACGTGGATCTTGTCTTCGTTCGTCTGTGTTTGTGTGTCTACAGGTTCGATCCTTTCGATCTACGCTTCTCTCTATTGGCGGCGGTTGCTGTTCTGGTGCGTT